GTCGCACGGCTGCTCCTTGCCCAAGCGCTTGCGTCTCCCTGCTGGCTCCGCTGCAGGCAAAGGCGCGGCCGAAGCAGCGGAGAAGAGCGAGGGCCAGAGTCACTGAGGCGCCCGAGGGCGCGGAGGCGGCGGCTGCCGACCGCAGGGTCCTGGCGCCCCGGGAAGGCTCGCTGTGGAGGCTGGTCACCGCCAACACGACCTCCAGGGCGAGCATGCGACGCTGGCTGCAGGAGGAGGCGCAGGGCGACATCCTCTTTGTGCAGGAGACGGGCGTGGCGCCAGGAGCGAGGGCGGAGGTCGAGCAGGCAGTCCGACGCGATGGCTGGAAGGCCTCCTTCACGGAGGCTCGCCGCACGGAGCGAGGAGGGCTCTCCAGCGGAGTCGGCATCGTGTGCAGGGCCCACTTGGGCATGGGCAAGCCGCCCGCGGGGCCCGCGCTGCCCCCAGACAGGATGGTGGCCCGCTGGGTGAACGCCATCGTCCCAGGAGGATTCCTGGCGGTCTCGGTCTACCTGGTGGCGACCACCAGCGGCCTGGACCCCGAGAGCAGGGTGCTGCTCGCGCAGCTAGGCCAGTACCTCGAGGCGGTGCAGGCCCCGTACATCATCGGCGGCGACTGGAACTGTGCACCGCAGGAGCTCGAAAGATGGGGCTGGCCAGATCGAGTCTCGGGTTTCGTGGCGAGCTCGGGGCAGACCACCTGCAGGATTGGAGGGGGCACTGAGATCGACTTCTTCGTGGTTTCCTGCAACTTGGGCGCTGCTGTGACGAGAGTCTCTCGCTTGGACGCAGCGCTGAGCCCGCGCTACCCAGTGCAGCTGACGCTGGACGGCAACAAGGCGCCTGAGAGAGCTCTGCGGCATCGGGCACCAAGGCCGTTCCCCACCGAGCGACCAGTGGGGCCGAGGCGTGAGCCGCCGTGCTGGACAGGCTTGCTGTCGGAGCTGGCGGACGCCATCGCGGCGGCAGCACCCAGCAGCGCAGCTGGCAGCCAGGGCCCGTCGGAGCATGGCCCCGAGCCCGCCAGGGAGGCCGACGCCGCCGCCCCTAGGGGGGCAGCCGAGGACGTCGAGGCCGCCGAGCTGGACGGGTCCTTCGACCAGGGAGGGGGCGAGAGGCGCGATCCAGGGGGACCAGTCCCGTTGGGAGCGGTCCCCCAGGATCCAAGTCCTGGGACAAGCAGTTGGGGGCAGCCTGCGATAAATTGCCCTGCTGTGGATGCGAGCTCAGACGGCCCAGAGACTTTGCCGAGCGTTTTGGGGCCACCAATCCTGCTGCCACCGTCAGTTTCGGCGGAGGCGTTGCGAGGGGTTCGGGAGTGCTACGACGAGGACTGGGCGGCGGTCGTCCACTCCTTGAAGGGCGACGTCCTGGACTCGCCCCTGTGCGCCGTCACGGACAGCGTGCCCGAGCCTGCAGGGCAGGCTGGCGGCGCGGGCCAGAGGCTGACTGGCGAGGAGGCGGCGGAGAGCGCGGCCAAGGTCGGGAGGCTAGGCCATGTTGCTGGGCCCGAGGGCGGCCTGGGGGGAGGCGGCACGAGGCGCCCAGCGGCAGGCGGAGAGCTGTCTAGGCAATCACAGTCGACGGGATCTGGTGAGGCCCCTCAGGCCGCGGGCAGAGGGCCTCGGACCCTGGGCGAGCTCTACGCCAGCTTCGCGGCGCTGCTCGAGAAGGACTTGGGCGGCCTCTTCGACATGGAGCAGGAGGACCTGATGAAGTGCGCGGGGCGCGGCGAGCCCGCTCGCTTTCAGGAGGGCACCATCAGCGCCAGCAGGCGGGGGGCACGCGCCCGCGGCTCCCCACAGGCGCGTACCTGGCACAGGATCGCGGCGCTGCTTTGGGAGGAGCTGGCCAGCAGGCGGCGCCTGCGGGCGCCGCACCTCGTCTCGAGGGAGCTGACCACGCTGGCGCGGCTGCAGGCCAAGCTCGGCAAGCTGGCGGCGCAGGACCTGGTCGGCGACATCGGCCTGAACGAGGCCCAGAAGAGGAGCAGGCAGAGGGACTTGGCACGCCAGCTGCGGGCAACGGGCGACATGACCTACGGCCAGCTGAAGTCCCTGGAGGCCCACGCCAGGCAGGCCGCCAAGGCTTTCGACTTGAGAGACGCCAAGGGCCGCACCAAGGCCTGGAAGGAGTGGTCCCAGGAGGCGGTGCGCGGGGGCGCGGGGGCCGCCCACGGTTTCTGCAGGGCCCCGCGGGGCTGGACTGCGGACGTGGAAACCAGTGGGCGGCCTGCCGGCATCGCGGGCACGTTGGAGGCGCTGAAGACGGAGTACCAGCAGGTGTGGCGGCACCAGGAGGAGGACTTCGACCTGGAGGCGATGCTCCCCGACGAGCTCCTGGACGCGGCCCCTGGCCCGCCAGCGCCCGACGCCATCCGAGCGGCGGCGAGGGCGTTCAAGGCCGAGACGGCGACGGGGGTGGACAGCCTCAAGCCACACCACTTCGGATGGCTCTCCGACCACGGCATCCTCGCGCTAAGCCTGCTGTTCCACCTCGTCGAGCTGCGGACGGAGTTCCCGTCGCAGGTGGCCGAGGTCTTCATTTTCTTTTTGGCCAAGCCCGACGGGGGCTGGCGGCCCATCGGGCTGATCGCCTCCCTGATCCGCCTGCTGGGCAAGATCAGGCACGACGAGGCGAAGCGCTGGGAGGCCGCCAGGGACAGGCCCTACTTCTTCGGCGGGGCTGGCAGGTCCTGCGAGGACGCGGTCTGGCTGCAGAGCTTCGATGCGGACCACGCGAAGACGCTGAACCTGGAGGCCGCGTCCACGCTCCTGGACCTCAGCAAGGCCTACGAGAGGGTCACGCACAGGGGGTTGGTCCACGCCGCGGGGAGGGAGGGCTTCCCGCTGAGGAGGGTCAAGATCCTCCTTCGCCTCTACGGAGGCAGGAGGCGCCTCTGCTTGGACCGCTGGATGACGGAGGCCTTCCAAGTTGTCCTGTCGCTGCTGGCGGGCTGCTCCTTTGCCACGACGCTGCTCCGGGTGGTGTTGGTCGAGCCGCTGGACGCGATGTTGGCGTCCTGGCAGATGGTGCGGCCATACCTCGTAGTCGACGACATCACGTTAGCAGTCTATGCCAAGCGTGCGCAGCTGGAGCACCTGTTGGTCGGGGCCACCCGTGCCCTCTGCGTGGACCTGGAGGCCATCGGCTTCACCATTTCCTTGACGAAGGGCCAGGTTCTGTGCACCGACTCCGACATCGCCAAGCGAGTCGCCCACAGGCTCAGACGCTGGAAGTTCACGCACGTGAAGGCCACAAAGAACCTGGGCGTGGACTTCACCATGGCAAAGTCGGCCTCGTGGAGGGTGCTACGGCAGAGGATCGATCGCCTGAGCCAGAGGGCTGGGCGATACAGAGCCTTGCGCAAGGCGGGGGCCAAGAGGCTCTCGAAGGTTTTCAGGACAGGAGGGTTGGCGTCCATCCTCCACGGCGCGAGAGTCAGCGGAGTGCCCGCGAAGACCCTGCAGCGCGCCCGAGCAGTCAACGGCAGGGCCATCTCGGGCGAGATCGGCCAGAGATCCAGGACGGTACTCTTCGCCCTACAGGAGGGCAAGGACTGGAAGCACGACCCAGCATACGCGGCGCACGTCCTCCCGTTGAGGGCTTGGGCTCGCGCCGTCTTCCTACGAGTGCGGCCCCCTGCGGTCTTCAAGCAGGTACTGGAGTGCAGACCAGGCGACTGGGGCGAGGTCACGGGGCCAGCAGGGGCGGTCCGCCTCTCGCTGGAGCGCATCGGCTGGGAGCTGCTGGACTGGCACCGTTGGAAGGACGACCGCGGGCAGATCCTCGACATGCAGCTGCTCAGCCCGCGGATGGTGGCCAGCCTCGTCGAGAACGGGGTCCACCGCTACCTCATGCTGAAGATCGCGAGCCACGAGGGCTTCGAGCATCTCCAGGGCCGCCCGCCCAACCTGGAGCCGTTTAGGACGGCTCTGGCGGGCATGCGGCGCGCGGGCAGGTCGCAGGAGGCAGCGCTGGTGGAGGCGCACATGGCAGGGGGGCTCGTCACGCAGTCCGACCTGTACGGCGAGAGGGCGGAGCTCAGCCCGCTGTGCCAGTGGTGCGGGGAAGCACCAGGCACGGCGCACCACAGGCTGTTCGCGTGCCCCGCCATCGCCTGCTGGGCGCGCGACCTGGGCTTCCAGGAGATCGCCGACGCAGGCAGGAGGGCGCCGCAGGACGACCTAGGCCTGGTGAGGGGCCTCGTCGACCTCGGGCTGGACCAAGCCCCGCCCCCTGGCATGGGCGAGCTCTGCCACCGCGCAGGTTGCGCGCGTCGCGGCTTCCTCGAGGGTGTCATCTGCATCGACGGTTCCGCGATGTACCCAGAGGCCCCGTGCCTTACACGCACGGGATGGGCAGCAGTGGTGGTGGACGACGTCGGGAACACCGTCGGCGGGCTCTTTGGGCTCACGCCAGGCTGGATCCAGGAGATCGGCTACGCGGAGCTCTACGCGCTGCGCAGGGTCCTGGAGGAGGTCGGCCCATCGCCCATCACGGTCTATACGGACTGCAAGGGGATCAAGGACGACTTCGAGGCAGGTCGAGGACGCTGCTGCGGCCCAGGCCACAAGTACGCGGACCTGTGGAGGCGGATCTGGCAGCTGCTCGACGACCTCGGCCCTGGGTTCCTCACTGTGACGTGGTTGCCGTCGCACACTTCGTGGGCCAGGGCCAGCGTTGCAGGGGTGCCGTGGCTAGCCTTCGCGGGCAACAGGGAGGCCGACGTGAAGGCGAAGGAAGGAGCCAGGCTGCACCCCAGGCAGGATCGGCTGCGTGAGTTGAGCCGCCGCCTAGACGCCGCCACCGTGCAAGCAGAGGCCTGGTGTGGCCACCACGGGGGGATCCTGAAAAGACTCGCCGACCTCGGGTGGCCCGATCGGGGGGCCATCCCTAGGCCCAGGGGCGCGGATCCTGGGACCCTGGCCCTGGTGGGGCCCGACAGGGGCCACGCCCTGGCCAGGCTCGGTCGAGCCTGGGGCTGTTCGGTCTGCGGGATCCGTCGGGCTACCAGGGCCAGGGTCGTCGCCAGCGCCTGTCCAGGACTCCCGTGGTTGGTCGCCAGGTCCCACCCGTCCCACAGGCTCTGGGTGATTCGGGGCGGGGACGGGCCGGGTCGGAGGTCCTCTGGGACGGGTGGCTGTCTCGTGTTTTGTCGGACTTGCGGGGCCCACGGGAGTCGCCAAGCGAAGCTCCTGGCCGACCCCTGCGTCCCGCTGGCCAGCAAGGGCCGCGACGCGGCTCGCCTGGCCCGCCGCGCCCTCGAGCACCTCAGAGCGGGGCGGGAGCCCCAGACAGGCAGCCGCTGGGGGGCGGTCCCGTTCCCCGTCTCGAGGGCGGCGGCGAGGAGGGTTTAGTTTGCTAAGTTTTGGCACGGACTCCAAGGGGCCCTCCCGCGCCAGGCTCCCTTGCCTGGCGGGTCCTGGGTCTGCCGTGGAGTGTTTTGATCCCCGTTCGGGGCCGAGGCTGGTTTGCGGAGCGGACCGCCTCCTGGTAGGAACTAGAGGAACTAGAGGAGGAGGAGGAGGAGGAAGGCAAGGAGGAGGAGGAGGTGGAGGAGGAGGAAGAGGAGGAGGAAGAGGAGGGGAAGAAGAGGGGAAGAAGAGGAACATCGTCAGGAGGGCAGAGGGGGCCGAAAGCGGTGGGGGAGGAGGACGGAGGAGGAGGAGGAGGAGGAGGAGGAGGAGGAGGAGGAGAGGAGGAGGAGGAGGAGGAGAGGAGGAGAGGAGGTGAGGAAGAGTGAGTGAGGAAGGAGGAGGAGCTGAGGAGGCGGACGGAGGAGGAGGAGGGGAGGAGGAGAGAGGAGGAGGAGGACGGAGGAGGGAGGAGGAGGCGGCGAGGAGGAGGAGGAGGAGGAGGAGGAAGAGGAGAGGAGGAGGAGAGGAGGAGGAGGAGGAGGAGGAGGAGGAGGAGGAGGAGGAGAAGGAGAAGGAGAAGGAGGAGGAGGAGGAGGAGGAGGAGGAGGCGGAGGCTCGGAGGAGCTGCCGGAGGTCGTGGAAGGCGAGCGCGGAGGCGGCACCCGTCGCGGGCCACAACCGCGGTGGCGTGCCGGACTACTGCAAGACGAGGCCAGACTCTCGATCGGTTCCTTCTCTTCTCCTGCCGCTGCTCCTCGCGAGCCTCTGCTCCTCCTCGTTCCTGCCCTCCTCCGCCCTGCCCTCCTGCCATGTGAGCGACGCAGAAAGCGGGGTCGTCTGCGCCGACATTGGCGCGCAACCTGCCCGCGTAAGGTCGCGCGTATGCGCACGCGTCTCCAATGTGGCGTGCCGCGCCAGCGGCCCGCGTGAGCCACGGCGTAAGGTCGCCATGCCATCTCGCATGACATCCCTTCGTCGCTTATGTGGCGCTTCGCGTCTGTTCCGATTCCGAGATCCCAGTCCCTTGCTTATATCCCTCATCCTACCTCTCTTCCGGGCGAGGCTACCCTCCCTCCCTCCCTCCCTGCCTACCTTGTCAGCGCCTCCTTCCCCTCATTCACCCTTTTTTGCTGGTCGGGCACAAGATGTAATTACAGCTGCCGCGTTCCTCTCTGCGATGCAAAAACCCAGAGAGCGTGCGATAACATCAAACATGTAATCTACTCACCTTTGTGCAGACTAACCGACGACCTCCTCCCCTCCCCCTCTTCCTCCTCCCCCTCCCCCTCCTCCTTCTCCTCCTCCTCCTCCTCCTCCTCCTCCTCCTCCTCCTCCTCCTCCTCCTCCCCCATCCGTAGCCATTTTGGCTCAAGTTCGAAACGCTTCCCTGGCGCTTCGAGCTTGGTCGCTGCCGAGGGGTCGGCTCAGAGCGGCCTTCTTGCGAGGTCAGGCCTCGCGGCACGTGAGCTTCAGCGCCCGTGCCTTCTGTTCGCATTTTGCGGCGCCTCCTACCAGTTTGCTGCATTGTCTTTCCCAGCATCACTCTTGTTTCCCAGTCGCGATGGCCCTCTCTGGTTCGGCTGCTGCGTCCGCTTCCCAAGACGAAGATCGCTTAGTGGACGCAGAGGGCGGCGACTCAGGCGCGGTCCCCGCCGACGGCTTCAACGGCAAACGCAAAGCGGACTTGATGGTGGACCTGATCACTCAGGGATCCGACGAAGAGATGGACGGGGAGGGCGTGCCGTCTGCCCAACCTGGATGGCTGAAGGCGCTCATCCAACCTATGAATCGTGTCTGCGCCTCGATCGGTACGATACAGCAGCAGTTGGCTGACCACGACCTCAAGTTCGCAATCATGCAGCGCCAATACGAGTCTATCCACTCTGATATTCAATCCTCAGTCGACAAGGCTCTCGACACCGCCTTGGACGCCAAGATTCGAGCAAAATTCGACGAGCTCGACCGAAAGTTCCAGTTGGCTTCTACGGTTGCCTCTTCCGTTGGTGGCAGCTCAGTCGCGGGAGGTTCTGGCGGCTCCCCTAATCGTGAAGCTGATGGGCGCCCGCGCCCGCCACAGACCGCTGGCGACAAAACTAAGGTGTGGATTGGAGGCTTCAAGAGACCCATGCTGGCCCGTGTTCTCCAACGGCACTCCGACTGGGTCAAGCAGCAGTTCCCGCATGACACGACCAAGAACGCCACGGTTCACGCAACCAATTTCTCTCAGTCATACAATTTCAAGTTCCAAGATGAGGACGAGGCTAAGAAGTTCTTAGAGGATGCCAGGACCAGGGGGCTCTTCTACCACGACACGAAGCTCGGCCAAGTCGAGTTGAGGGTCCGGCTGGACGCCCCGCCGTTCGCCCGCGCTCGGCACAAGGTGCTCGGTCAAGTCTGGCAGAGGGTCGTCGAGCACTGGAAGTCGCACAACGTCGACTTTCGCGGTCAACACTGGCAGATCGGCTGCAACGGCTTTCGCGGCTTCTTGTTCGTCACGGTCAACGACGACATCTTCGTGCTTGCCCGAATTCAGGAGCTCGACCACTCCCAGTGGTCCATCGAGCCCGAGTCCAGCCACCTCTCGCAGTTCCAGATCCCCGAGGAGAGCATGACGGAGTGGTGCAAGACAGTTTGCCCTCGTGGCTCGCTGTGACACGCTCCAAAGCAGGACAGTCAGCACAACCTGAGTGAGGGCCTGCTGTGGGAGCATTCTATGCGAGCAGCCCGACCTTCTGGGGTGAAGCGGTCTCGCCGTGGGACAACGGCGTGTGCTTCTGGCCGTGGGCTGAAACGCCTGCGCTCTTCACGAATTCGAACGCCCAGCAGCAGTGCTTCCAGCTCATCTTCGGCTTCCTCTTCTTCCTCCTCTTCTGGCTGCTCCAGGCCGTCGTCTTCTTCCAGCTCGTCGCCCTCGCCTACGCCGGGCTACCCGAGTCCGCTGGCAGCACAGCAGTTGCCTTTTCGGCCTCGCGACAAGTTTTCTATTGTGTCCTGGAACGCCCAGTCCCTTTTCGGCTCGCAGTGGTCGTCGCCACAGTTACTGAGGAAAAAAGCGCATCGGTTTCTGCATCTCGTCTCTCGCCACTCCATCGTCTGCATTCAAGAAGCCCGTGGTAGTCCACATGATCTACGACAAATTCTGAAAGAAACGGTTGATGACTTTGGGTACGGCACGTTTTGCGACGTTCCTCATTCTGAAGCTGAAACTGCCCCCGCTGGCGGTTGCATTATCATGGTTCATCCCAGTCTTCGTGCTCAATTTACCCATGTCTCTCATCATGTGCTGGTCCCTGGGCGAGCTCATATGATAAAATGTACGGGCACCTATGGTAAGATGCATGTCTTCAATATTCATATTCCGCCTGAGCAACCTAGAGCAGAGCAAAAAGATTGTCTGAGGCTAGTCAAAAGCAAGCCCCCCCCGCAGTCCAGCGCCCTGAGCTTCATCACTGGAGACTTCAATTTCGTTGCGGAAGGGGAGGCGAGTGCTCATCTTTCTGGTCGTCGGGTATACACCTCGCACGCGATGGCCCAGTTCTTTTCCAGGCTGTTTCCGAGCATGTGTGAGATCGAGCAGCCACATCCTACCCACCAGGTGCTATCGCGTCAAGATATACACATCCCCGATCGGTCCGACCCCGTTCACGGTGTTGCTCATGTAGTGTCTGTCTCTCGGTTGGATCGCATATACACTAGCATGTACACTGCTCAGCTACTCGATTATGGTCTTCACTCGTTCGTGATCGGCGAAGCCTGTGAGAAGCAGCCCCTGTCCGACCACCTGCCCGTTGTCCTGCCCTTCTCAGCCAAGCTGTTTCGGAGAGCCCAGAGCGTCCCGCGGTGGATGTCCAAGCATCCCCTGTACCCCATCATGTGCCAGGAGGTGTACGATGAGGTTGGCATCAGTTCTCTGGACCCTTTCGAGGCTCTCGAGGAAGGTAAAGATATATTGCGCGCTGGGGCCCAAAAAGTCAAACGGGAACTCGAGCGTGCTGGAGCCACAAGCACCCCCGAGTTCATCTCGTGGGCCTTGGTGGCCATGCGCATTGTCAACCAGCTTCCCCGCGATAGGACCCAAGTTGACCTGCTGGTGCGAGCGCTTCGCGCTTACCCCAAGCTCAAGGAGTTCATTAATGGCGACTCGCTCCTCTGGCTGGACTTGGCTGGGTTCCACGCTCACCTCGCCTCCCTCAACATTCGGCTTCCCGGGGATCGGCTGCAAGAGGTGGAGGAGGACGAGATCCCTGAGCCCCAGAAGCAACTCGAGAGGGTCAAGATAGGTAGCTACATGTCGTCCTGGGGCTCGGTTAGGAGGCGTATATCTCTCGCTGGGGTTTCTGATCCCTCGGGAGAGCACATCACGGACCCTGATGAGGTCTGCGCACATCTCGGGTGTTTCTGGGGCCGTGTGCATGCGCATGTTTCTCCTGATCCTGACGCTTGGCTCGAGCTTCGTCAATATGTGCGTCCACTTCCCGGGCGCATCCAGTGGACGCTCGAACGTGACGAGTTCTCAACACTCATCTACAGGAAACGAGATGCTGCGCCAGGTCCTGATGGGTCGCCATTCTCTGCCATGACCCGAGCGGGGGTTTTCGCGCACAACCTTCTGTAAAATGTGTATTGTGAGCTTCAAGCAGGCAGGCTTTCGAACCCGGACTTTAACGAAGGCGATGCAGTCTTTTTGGCAAAAGGCACCGAGCAGTCTGATCATGCTGGGCTTTTCCGATCTCCTGATAAGACAAGGCCAATAACCTTGAGCAACAGTGGTAACAAACGGATCTCGGCCGCCATCAACGCGCCTATGGGCTATGCTTGCCAACTATCTTGCGTGGAATTTCAGCGCGGCTTCGTCGAGAATCGTTCCATGAGTCAGAACCTTGTGCAGCTGGAAGGTTACGTGCTACACTGGCTGGTCCAGCATGGCTTTGTTGATGCGGGATTCATCTTGTTTGACTATGAGAGTGCTTTTCCCGCATTTGCGCACGAGTATATCTTCTGGAGTTTGGAAATGTTCGCAGTTCCTGCGCATATTCGTGCGAGTATCAAGCTGCTGTGCCACAATATTCGGGTATCTGTATCATTTGGTGGCGCCCGTGGCGGACAATTTGGCGTGAACCGTGGCATTAAACAAGGATACCCTTTATCGGGCAGTCTGTTCGCATTGGCGATCGACCCTATCCTTCGCATGCTTGCTGATCGGCTACCCGCGAGAGTCAATATTTTCTGCGCATTCGCCGACGACTTAGGAGTGGGATGCGCCGATGTCTTCACTACCCTTGCCGCCGCGTTGCCCATTCTGAACTTCGGCACTCGGGCGCCAGGCTTGAAGCTCAACCTCGCTAAGACAGTGGTCATACTTATCCTGAACGCCACCGACGGGTACATCCATCAGAAGCTGCTTGATGCTGGGTTCATGCCGTGGTCGTTTAGGGTTGTGCAGTCAGGTAAGTACCTTGGTATCATTCTTGGACAGTCAGGCCACCATGACAGCTGGATTGCACCCACCACCAAGTGCATCAGTCGCGCACGGGCCATCAAGCACTTGTCCTTGGGGCTCGCCAAGGGCATCGTGCAGTTCAACTCGGTGGGTTTCTCTGTCTTATCGCACGTCATGCAGTACTATCGCCCGTCTCCTGAGGCCCTGCGTGCTGTCGACACTGCCGTGCAAAATATAACGCCTGCCCCTCGCAGCGCTTTCTCGACGGGTATGCTCGCTGATTTAAAAAGCTTGTGGTTTCCCTGTGAGGTTAGGGACTTCCAGTGTGTTTCCCGTGCGGCTTTGTTTAGGCTGCCCTGCACCACTCCTGCCTTTTTTCGAAATTCGGGACCTCCTGGATGGTTTCAGCGATTCGGACGATTGTATTTATTTATGGCGCCATCACTCCTGGTACAAGTCTAGCATGTTCTCTCATTCGCTTGACAATTATCTCGCTCTCACTGCCATCCCTCATGTGCCCTCAGTCGCGCAGCTTCGAGTGCAAATGAAGACTGAGCGTATTCTCCGTCGTCGGCGTTCTGATCTGGCTGCCACTTGTATAGCTAGCAGAGCTGGGCACCACCTCGGTCGTCCGATGACTATGCACGATTGCATGTCGCTTACCATGGCGGTTTGCAGACTCGCCCAAGCCGCTCCTGCCTGTATTGTTGCTGGTGTTTATCGTACCATTTGCAACGCCTGGACCACGTCGGCCAGGTTCCCAGGGCCTACCCGTGCGTGCCACTTCTGTAAAGTCAGAACCTGCCCTGATTCGCTCCGTCATTATCTAGAGTGTAGCTCCGTACAGTGCATCTATCCCTTGTTGCCCCATCTGTCCGAGCGCTTTCTCAATGCCAGTGGTGCCCAGCGTGCCGCTTTCCTTCCTCTTCTGCCTGCCTCGAAATCTGAGCTGGTGTCTGCTGCTGTGTGCATCGATGTCATCTGCTCTGTTTACCACGATAGTAAGGAATCCGCACTTGTCCAGAGGATTATTCCCCTGCGTCTCATGGCTTCAGCTCGCATCAAGAAATTGATGCGTCGCTGGCCTGGGCATCAGGTGCTTCTTCGATGAGGCGCGTGGTGCTGGGGCGCCCTCCCCTCCCCCCTTCGGCTCTTGTCCGCCTGCCCTCTTGTCCCTTGCTCGCGTCTTGTCCGCTCTCTCTTCTCTTGGCCCTGTGCCCTCCTCCTCCTCCCCCCTTCCTCTGCCTCCTCTTCCTCCTCCTCCTCATCCCCGCTTTTCTTTTCTCCTCCTCCTCCTCCTCCTCCAGCCTCGCTTCCCCCTCAACACCCTGCGCCCGCACGAGGCCAGACTCGATCGACTGCAAGTGACGGCCAGCCGGCCGCGCGGCCCCGCGGCCTCGCGGCCCGCCGCGCTGCTGGCCCAGAGGGCCGTCGGCCGCTGGCAAGGTGCGCTCCCCGCTCCTCCTCGCCGGCTCCTCGCGCGCCGTCCGTGGCCGAGCGTCGGCGCACTCTGGGAGGGTGGGAGGGCGCGATCTGGGAGTCGATACTTACGATTGGGGCGTCGAAGGAACGGATGGGAGGGGATGCAGAGGGGGAGGATTATACCATGGGAGGACGAGAAGACGAGAGGGGCGAGGAGAAGGAGGAGGACGAGGAGGGTGAGGAGGAGGAGGAGGAGGAGGAGGAGGAGGAGGAGGAGG